GAAGATCAGCCCTGAGCTAACATCCATGCTAATCCTCCTCTATTTTTGCTGAGGAAAACTGGCTCTGAGCTAACATCTATTGCCAGTCCTCCTCCTTTTTTTCCCCCAAAGCCCCAGTAGGTAGTTGTATGTCATAGTTGCACAACCTTCTAGTTGCTGTATGTGGGACGCGGCCTCAGCATGGCTGGAGAAGCGGTGCATTGGTGCGCACCTGGGATCCAAACCTGGGCCGCCAGTAGCGGAGCGCATGCACTTAACCGCCAAGCCACGGGGCCGGCCCTATCATACTTTCTTTCTATGGTTACATGTTTTTTTTTTCCCCTCAAACTCATATGAACATGCACTAGATTTTAAACTCAAAAGTTCAGTTCCACAAATACTTTGGGTGTCAACTACGTGCCAGGCATTGGGTGGGATGCTGGGGACACAAGTAGGAATAAGACAAAAGTCACGAGATTAGAGACTGTACTTTATACAGCTTTACTCCCCGGACATCCAGCTCAGGGTGGAAAGCATGACAGGCAGTGAAGAAGCATCTGCTGATGCTGACAGTTTATTGAGCCCCACTTGGTGTTCAGTGCTCAGCACTATGATCAGTGCTGAGAAGGATATTAAAATAACAACTGGTGCTTACAAGAGCTTCCTAGATGTCAAGCACCGTGCTTGGCATGCATTACCTGATCTACTTTTCTGAAGAACTCTACGAGATAGGAAGGGTTATTCCCATTTTATGCATAGGGAAACTGAGGACCCAAGTGCCAAAGCACTTTTCTCAAGGTCACAGAATTAGTGAATGGTGAACCTGGGATTTGAACCCAAGCCTATCTGACTCCAGACTGTGCTCTTGATGACTACACGGCATTGTCACACTCAATGGTCCCTGCACTCATACCGCTAGTGTGGGGCTAGATATGTGTCTTGATAGAGCCAGAGAGAGGAGATGTGGTGTGAACAGTAAGGATGGAGGAATGCAGAAGCAATGAACTCAGTTACAATGGAAGAACTTAGAATGGACCAGAGCCTGAGAGGGCCTTTGAGTGGCTATAGAGTGTCCTCCCTTGTGTTCAGAGCCCCCAGACTGTTCTTATCCGGACTCCAGCTGGCCTAAATTCCAGAGTGTCAC